CTTTGATGTAATGTCCTTAAAACAAGTCAAAATGAGGCTCAGTAGTGTTTGTGGCCTCCACGTGCCTGTATGACCTCCCTACAATGCCTGGGCATGCTCCTGATGAGGTGGCGGATGGTCTCCTGAGGGATCTCCTCCCAGACCTGGACTAAAGCATCCGCCAACTCCTAGACAGTCTGTGGTGCAACGTGGCGTTGGTGGATGGAGTGAGACATGATGTCCCAGATGTGCTCAATTGGATTCAGGTCTGGGGAACAGGCGGGCCAGTCCATAGCATCAATGCCTTCCTCTTGCAGGAACTGCTGACACACTCCAGCCACATGAGGTCTAGCATTGTCTTGCATTAGGAGGAACCCAGGGCCAACCGCACCAGCATATGGTCTCACAAGGGGTCTGAGGATCTCATCTCGGTACCTAATGGCAGTCAGGCTACCTCTGGCGAGCACATGGAGGGCTGTGCGGCCCCCCAAATAAATGCCACCCCACACCATGACTGACCCACCGCCAAACCGGTCATGCTGGAGGATGTTGCAGGCAGCAGAACGTTCTCCACGGCATCTCCAGACTCTGTCACATCTGTCACATGTGCTCAGTGTGAACCTGCTTTCATCTGTGAAGAGCACAGTGCGCCAGTGGCGAATTTGCCAATCTTGGCGTTCTCTGGCAAATGCCAAACGTCCTGCACGGTGTTGGGCTGTAAGCACAACCCCCACCTGTGGACGTCGGGCCCTCATCCCACCCTCATGGAGTCTGTTTCTGACCGTTTGAGCAGACACATGCACATTTGTGGCCTGCTGGAGGTCATTTTGCAGGGCTCTGGCAGTGCTCCTCCTGCTCCTCCTTGCACAAAGGCGGAGGTAGCGGTCCTGCTGCTGGGTTGTTGCCCTCCTACGACCTCCTCCACGTCTCCTGATGTACTGGCCTGTCTCCTGGTAGCGCCTCCATGCTCTGGACACTACGCTGACAGACACAGCAAACCTTCTTGCCACAGCTCGCATTGATGTGCCATCCTGGATGAGCTGCACTACCTGAGCCACTTGTGTGGGTTGTAGACTCCGTCTAATGCTACCACTAGAGTGAAAGCACCGCCAGCATTCAAAAGTGACCAAAACATCAGCCAGGAAGCATAGGAACTGAGAAGTGGTCTGTGGTTACCACCTGCAGAACCACTTCTTTATTGGGGGTGTCTTGCTAATTGCCTATAATTTCCACCTGTTGTCTATTCCATTTGCACAACAGCATGTGACATTTATTGTCAATCAGTGTTGCTTCCTAAGTGGACAGTTTGATTTCACAGAAGTGTGATTGACTTGGAGTTACATTGTGTTGTTTAAGTGTTCCCTTTATTTTTTTGAGCAGTGTATATATATACTACCATTCAAAAGTTTGGGGTCACTTAGAAATGTCCTTGTTTTCGATAGAAAAGCAAAAAAAATTGTCCATTAAAATAACATCAAATTGATCAGAAATACAGTGTAGACGTTGTTCATGATGTAAATGGCTATTGTAGCTGGAAACGGCTGATTTTTAATGGAATATCTACATAGGCGTACAGAGGCCCATTATCAGCAACCATCAGTCCTGTGTTCCAATGGCACGTTGTGTTTGCTAATCCAAGTTTATCATTTTAAAAGGCTAATTGATCATTAGAAAACCCTTTTGCAATTATGTTAGCACAGCTGAAAACTGTTGTGCTGATTAAAGAAGCATAAAACTGGCCTTCTTGAGACTAGTTGAGTATCTGAAGCATCAGCAATTGTGGGTTTGATTACAGGCTCAAAATGGCCAGAAACAAATAACTTTCTTTTGAAACTCGTCAGTCTATTCTTGTTCTGAGAAATGAAGGCTATTCCATGCATGAAATTGCGAAGAAACTGAAGATCTCGTACAATGCTGTGTACTACTCCCTTCACAGAACAGCGCAAACTGTTTCTAACCAGAATAGAAAGAGGAGTGGGAGGCCCCGGTGCACAACTGAGCAAGAGGACTAATACATTAGAGTGTCTAGTTTGAGAAACAGACGCCTCACAGGTCCTCAACTGGCAGTTTCATTAAATAGTACCCGCAAAACACCAGTCTCAACGTCAACAGTGAAGAGGCGACTCCGGGATGCTGACCTTCTAGGCAGAGTTGCAAAGAAAAAGCCATATCTCAGACTGGCCAATAAAAATAAAATATTAAGATGGGCTAAAGAACACAGACACTGGACAGAGGAAGATTGGAAAAAAGTGTTATGGACAGGCAAATCAAAGTTCGAGGTGTTCGGATCACAAAGAAGAACATTTGTGAGACGCAGACCAAATGAAAAGATGCTGGAGGAGTGCTTGATGCCATCTGTCAAGCATGGTGGAGGTAATGTGATGGTCTGGGGGTGCTTTGGTGGTGGTAAAGTGGAAGATTTGTACAGGGCAAAAGGGATCTTGAAGAAGGAAGGCTATCACTCCATTTTGCAACGCCATGCCATACCCTGTGGATGGCGCTTGATTGGAGCCAATTTCCTCCTACAACAGGACAATGACCCAAAGCACAGCTCCAAACTATGCAATAACTATTTAGGGAAGAAGCAGTCAGCTGGTATTCTGTCTATAATGGAGTGGCCAGCACAGTCACCGGATCTCAACCCTACTGAGCTGTTGTGGGAGCAGCTTGACCGTATGGTAAGTAAGAAGTGCCCATCAAGCCAATCCAACTTGTGGGAGGCAACATCTAAGTGACCCCAAACTTTTGAACGGTAGTGTGTGTATGTATGTATGTACTGTATGTGTATATGTATATAAATATATATATTTTTTTCTCCACACTATGAGGTGGGATGGAGTTTTGGCCTGCCAGGCGGTAAATTAGTTCTTAGACCAATAAGAAAGAGTTCCAACCTCTCTGCCAGTAACAGTTTGTTTTCAGTGTTCCCCTCCCCACTCAGACCACTCACAGACTGCCCTAGCAAAATTCTTGCTTGAGAAATTGCCCTTTGCTAAGAAGCTATTTTTGTTTCGTTTTGACCTTTTAAATTGAAAACAGTCACAGTAAGATACTTAATTGTTACCCAGAAATTATTTGATATTGAGATGAATTGGGCCTTTAACAATGTACTTTTTTTTGTGAAGCTTGCGTTCAACTAACTGCCCCTCGCTGTGGCACACAAGAAGCTTCCATTCCCCCTGTCACAAGGGGATTTATGGCTGATTTAAGATGAAGTCTCCACCCCGTTACAGTCAACCTTGTTCCTTTATTAGGCACGTGCTTTAGTCATTATTTAATTCCCACTGGAGGTGGGAAAATGTGTTTTTTATTAAGTTGAACATGTGATCTTTCTGATAGAATGTTATAATTAGGTGAAATAAAAAGTTTATTTTTTTCACAAAGTTACAGTACTCAAAAGACATCCAATTAGTGGAAAGGCCGAACATTCTTTCTCTAAAAATAGGCAACGTGTAGCAACTAACTTATCTGCTGTGGAAATGTTTTAATTGGTTCATTTGAGCTCGCGGTGAAACAACTGTTGGCACTTGATTGGCCAGCTACATCAGTTTGTTCTAGACTGTTCTGCGGAAATCTTCATATTGCTCAGAAATCACCACCGAGGACAGAGCGACATTTTCAGGCAGATTTGGACAGAGCGACATTTTCAGGCAGATTTGTAATATTTAATAAGGTAAGCATTTTGAAATGGAAGCTGTTGAATATCAGCATTGTAATTGTTGGAAATGATGAACAGTAAGTTAGGCTAACAAGCTTGAAGTAATACTGAAACAGCATAGCTGGCTATTAAGCAGAATCTGGGTTTACAGGAAACGTTGAATATGGCGATTTCTAATGCATCAATAGTTTCAACGATTACATCGGATATGTCAGTTTGTTTGCTTGCTAGCAGTTTCAAGGGACGCTCTCTTGTTAGGCTAGTTATGTGTGAAGAATGCATGGGCTTGGCTTCCAACATTATACAGTTGAACCATTGGCTTGCTCGGTCGATGTTGCTTAATGTGCTGGTAAAATGTTAGTTTAAATAATTGCGTATGAAACTTATTTTAATGGCAACCCTACCTAGTCTAGCCTACGTGAGTTGGCTGGCACTGCTTGATGGTGATGAAGCTGAACGGAATGTTCCAGCAATTTCCCAACCCACCCGCGGCAGCGCAGGGGCGAGTCCTCTGTGACAAACTCCTGGCAAAATGTTTGTTTTATATTTGAATTGGTGATAGAACAAATCCTGGAAACTATTCCTCTATCAATGTTCATTCGTTTAATGTTAATAAGCATGGAGTTGCTTTAGCTATTCAGTTCAAATAAAGCTAGAGATGTTCGGCTGTCAGTTGCGGTGCTGCTGTCATAAAGCACGTCTGCTTTACACCCCGCCCACTCCTAGCCTCCGGAGACTGAGGTTAAGGTTAGTGAAAATGCTCTCCTAACCTGCTACTAAAATAACTGTATCGAGATGAAGTGCTGTGAAAAGTGTGTCCCGTTGAAAGACAGCTGTTGGTCAAGACAAGGATGAGTCTTTTGAACGCAGACTTGCATAGTGGAAACCAAGTCTGTTCTCAGGGCAGACCTGTTTGTAGGTAGATACGTCGTGTTGGGACTATTTTTGCATTTAGCTAACCCTTTTCCTAACCTTAACCGAATTATCCTAACATGCCACGTTAATTCTCCTAACCTGCTGCGTAAGTTCTCCTAAACCTGCTACACTTCTGCTTGTCAAAACCGGCAGACCTGCCCTGCAAGCAGTGTGTATCCACTAATGCGATACTCCCTTTTGAACAGGTGCTTCCGGGGTCTTTCAATGACACAATTGTGGCTACTATTGTCTGAACTTTTCTGAAAATAGCATCATGTGTCACAGGCCTATACTAAAATAGATCCAACTTGACCAGTTGTATAGTTGTCCCCTAGAGTCTACCCTCAGGATCACTCACCGGGGTCAACGAGTTCATACCTAAATCTCTTAAAAATCTGTACTTTGCCACCACACAGTTTGTTTTAATGTTCTCTCTCTTCATTTTCAGACACCATGTCAAAGGGACCAGCAGTTGGCATTGACCTGGGCACCACTTATTCCTGTGTGGGTGTTTTCCAGCATGGCAAAGTGGAGATCATCGCCAATGACCAGGGCAACAGGACCACACCCAGCTATGTCGCTTTCACAGACACAGAAAGGCTGATTGGGGACGCGGCCAAGAACCAAGTGGCCATGAACCCCACAAACACAGTGTTTGGTAAGAAATTAACTTGGGGAAATTGATGAAATAACATGTACGGTATATAAGATGTACTATACATGGAGAGACTATCTGTGGCATTAACTCGTGTTTACCCCCTTATCTCCCAGATGCTAAGCGGCTGATAGGGCGGAAGTTTGACGACAGTGTCGTCCAGGCAGACATGAAACACTGGCCGTTTACAGTGATCAACGACTCGACACGGCCCAAGGTCCAAGTGGAGTACAAGGGAGAGACCAAGGCCTTCTACCCAGAGGAGATCTCCTCCATGGTGCTGGTCAAGATGAAGGAGATCGCAGAGGCCTACCTGGGCAAGGTGAGCGTGCTCACAACAGTCCTATCACTCTGTCTTCATAGCAACGCATGTTATGGTCTTTGGGGTGTTACTTAATGGTTGAACAAAATATAAATGCATTTTTCTCACACTGTAGAGATAACTTCCAAAAATGAAGATTGTCTTGTTACTTAAAGTGACACATTACTAATTTGTGTATACTGTAAATCTTTCCTCCTGTAGACTATAACCAATGCAGTGGTCACTGTGCCAGCTTACTTCAACGACTCTCAGCGCCAGGCCACCAAAGACGCAGGGACTATCTCAGGACTCAACGTACTCCGCATCATCAATGAGCCAACCGCTGCTGCTATCGCCTATGGCCTGGACAAGAAGGTTAATGTATATATATTTATCAACACTAACAACTATACTTAGAACTCAGAACCATAATGCATACCTGAGGCCCATTGACATGTGTTTTGGGAGACACATTTCACAAAAATGCATATTTAACTCACGTTTCAAAAAATAATAATTTTAGGTGGGAGTGGAGAGAAATGTCCTAATCTTCGACCTGGGCGGAGGTACGTTTGATGTGTCTATCCTGACCATCGAAGATGGGATCTTTGAGGTGAAGTCCACAGCCGGAGACACCCATCTTGGAGGAGAGGACTTCGACAACCGCATGGTCAACCACTTCATCTCTGAGTTCAAGCGCAAATACAAGAAGGACATCAGCGACAACAAAAGAGCTGTGCGTCGTCTGCGCACTGCCTGTGAGCGTGCCAAGCGCACCCTGTCCTCCAGCACCCAGGCCAGCATTGAGATTGACTCTCTGTATGAGGGCGTTGACTTCTATACCTCCATCACCAGGGCTCGCTTTGAGGAGCTGAACGCTGACCTGTTCAGAGGCACACTGGACCCTGTGGAGAAGTCTCTGAGGGACGCCAAGATGGACAAGGCCCAGGTTCACGACATCGTCCTGGTGGGAGGCTCCACACGCATCCCCAAGATCCAGAAGTTGCTGCAGGACTTCTTCAACGGGAAGGAGCTCAACAAGAGCATCAATCCTGATGAGGCTGTTGCCTATGGTGCAGGTGGGGCTCTTTATTTTTCTAGCTCCCTCTTCTATCTAAAGCTTTGCCCAGTAATCCCTCTGGTCAGCTGTGTCTTTTCCTGTTCTGTCTTCTCTAACCTTCATCCAGAGAAGCCCTAATATGGATAAGGACATTATAAATGCTTTGATGGTTTAAGAATGAGTGATGACCCCTGTGCCTGTTGACAGCTGTCCAGGCGGCCATCTTGTCCGGAGACAAGTCTGAGAACGTGCAGGACCTGCTGCTGCTGGACGTCACGCCACTGTCCCTGGGAATTGAGACTGCTGGAGGGGTCATGACCGTGCTCATCAAGAGGAACACCACCATCCCCACCAAGCAGACGCAGACCTTCACCACCTACTCAGACAACCAGCCTGGGGTGCTCATTCAGGTGAGGGGGATGTACTATGACTCATTCCTAGGTACCTCAATGGATTATGTTTCCATCAGTGTCAAAATGTTAGCATATACTCTAGTTGATATTTAACTAGAATTTGTTCTGAATCAATACTTACCCACACACTCCTTTTATTTGTTAGTGTTTACATTCAAACTTGGGATGAGACTTTGAATGTATCCACATGAGTGTTGACCTGAGTGTGTGTTGGTGTCCTATCCAGGTGTATGAGGGGGAAAGAGCCATGACCAAAGACAACAACCTACTGGGGAAGTTTGAGCTTTGTGGGATCCCACCAGCCCCCCGGGGTGTGCCTCAGATCGAGGTCACCTTTGACATCGACGCCAACGGCATCATGAACGTGTCCGCCGCTGACAAGAGCACCGGCAAGGAGAATAAGATCACCATCACCAATGACAAAGGTACACTTAGTAGTTCTTACAGTTTAAAGGGGAAATCTGCATTTCAAACAATAACAAAGCATTTACCCTGCCACTGTTTTGGGGGAAAAGTTGAGGGAGGGGGCTGGAGAAATGTAACCACTCTCAAATGTATAGACATAGCTATGGATGCAAGGACTGACCATCCCATGATATTACAATTATAGTTTTAACCATGTTTTGAGGCTAGGCAGTGTTTACAGTTACATAGCTTATTTTTGGTTTATTTAAGACATTTATTAATTAATATGTATATATGTATTCATTTTTTATATTTTTTATTTAAAAGTCCAAACATGGATGAACCATTTGCAGATTGCCCTGTAAAGCTATAGTCTTAAATCTGGGAATCTGCTCATTTCAATTATTGATATTTACCCATTGATTCTTCAACATCTGAATCCCATAATGTAGCTTTAAACACGATGCCATTGTAAAGTATGCAGACTATTTTAAATGGGGATGTCCTCTCCAACAATGCTTGGTAACAAAGCCTCCATCTCATTGTCTGTCCCTCTCTCCACAGGTCGTCTGAGTAAGGAGGACATAGAGCGCATGGTCCAGGAGGCTGAGCAGTACAAAGCTGCGGACGACGTCCAGAGGGACAAGGTGGCGTCCAAGAACGGCCTGGAGTCATACGCCTTCAACATGAAGTCCACCGTGGAGGATGAGAAGCTCAAGGGCAAGCTCAACGACGAGGACAAACAGAAGATCCTGGACAAGTGCAATGAGGTCATCAGCTGGCTGGACAAGAACCAGGTACAGTACGGGCTCTGGGTCCTTCAACCAGAATGGAGTGGGTTAATGTTCATATCTAAAGTCAAGTATAGCACTCTGAGTCCCTCACCTCATTGTAATTTGATTAAACAAATGTCTGGTGGTTAAACAAGGTTGGAGCACTGTCTCTCTCTCGCTCTTCCTTTCTCCTCTCTCCTTGTAGTCTGCAGAGAAGGAGGAGTTTGAGCACCACCAGAAGGAGCTGGAGAAGGTGTGTAACCCCATCATCACCAAGCTGTACCAGGGTGCAGGGGGCATGCCCGGGGGGATGCCAGGGGGGATGCCAGGGGCTGGTGGTGCCACACCCGGAGGAGGCGGATCCTCTGGACCAACCATTGAGGAAGTCGACTAAACCATTCAGAGTATTATTTTACTCTTGATTGGATATGGCTAAATAGTGGTCCACATTCTATGGCTTGGAATGGGCTGAACCTTTATTTTCACAATCTGCATTGACTACTTTTGTTTGTTTTGGTCATTAATCTTTTTATGCTGAAAGCAACCATGGATTGAATATTTTTCATGGGCACTGTTCTACCTATTGTTAAACGTTTTCAGTTTAACCAGTGAATGGTTACTATACAGAGCATGTTTTTCACAAGTGGAATTCTGTGACTGCAAAATGTTTTTGCCTTTGCACTGCAGGCTAAAGATAACTCTTAAAGAATCTCTTGAATTCACATTCCTCTACCAGACTCTTCTTTAATATTGACACCTATGACAGTCTTGGTGACCATCAGGGTTTATAAACAGATAAAGCAACACCTCACGGCACGCCTCTCCCCTATTTGACCTAGATAGTTTGTATGTATTGATATGTCGGCTACGTGTGCCTTTAAAAAATTGTTTTATGTAGTTCTGTCCTTGAGCTGTTGTCTATTAATATTGTGTATTATGTCATGTTTTGTGTGGACCCCAGGAAGAGTAGCTGCTGCTTTTGCAACAGCTAATGGGGATCCTAATAAAATACCAATTTAAATGTTAAAGCTGCACTTTGCAGAAATCGCTCCGCCATTTCCTGGTTGCTAAAATTTATAATGGTTTGCCTAATTTCAGTTTGTAAAAAGAAACACATAGTATCATTGTACCATCTAAACCGCTGTGAAATATATTCTCCATAACCAAAAATATTGTATTTTCTGTTTGAAGCTGGTGTACTAAACTGAAAGTAAAAGACAAACACTAACCTTAAGAACGGGAAGCATAGAAATGGTGCACATAGAACAGATTGACCACTTCGTAGACTTGCTTTTAATGAGAATGACTCATCTATAACTCATTTCTATTTGAATTTGGTCAGGTCACCCAAAAAGTTACATATTGCAGCTTTTAAAAAAAACCTACTAAATTATAACTGAAGATAGTCATAACTGGTGCATATTCTTAATTATTAAACACCACTCAATAGAAAGAAGAAACAGACATGGTTTTACCCTTTTTTTTTATTATGCTTATTCAATAGTGGTCAGGTAAACGGGAAATGACGTTAGGGGTGTGTGTATTATTTTTTTTTTGTCAGATCAGCGGGAGTTGGAGTTTCTCGGGCATTCATGCATCCTGTAGGCACACATGTAGAAGATACCTGTAAAAGAAAATAGGAAGAGATTACCATTCAGTTCATAGGCATACTGTATACTGGATTATCCACTTATGTGAATATGTTTTTGTCTTCAAATGAATCGTGTTGGACTGAGCCATTGGATGCATCTCAAATGGCAGCCTACTCCTTATATAGTGCACTACTTTTGACCAGAGCCCTATGGGCCTTCTTCAAAAGTAGAACACTAAAGGGAATATGTTGCCATTTGGGACGCACAAATAGTAAATGAAGTCCTTTAGCTCTATAGGCAGAACCACATCATCCTACCTGAGAAGAAAGTGAGGACCACGGCCACCCAACCCATGATGTAGGACCAGGAGAAGCGCCAGTTCCCATATCGTTTCCCGTAGTAGTTCACCGTCACCCCAGTGTACACAGCCATCGCCAGCAGTACAAAGAAGCCTGTGGAGAGTAGTCAATCAAATGGTGCTTTATTCCTTTCATCACATCCATCAACAGAGACTTGATAGCATAGAAATATAATTAATTTATTATATTTCTGTGCTTGATAGAGTGACAGGGAGAAATGACAGTAGGAGGAGACACTTACAGGAGATGAAGAAGAGGATGCCGGCAGCAAACGTCTTGTCAAACCCACTGAAGGAGGAGGAGCGTATGAAGGCCATGACACCGATCACGATGCCAATGAAGCAGGCCAGCAGGGAGAGGATCATAAAGGCACGGGTAGCATCCCAGTATGCTGGTGACAGGGCACAGAGAGGACAAGGCTGACACCCAGTACAGGTACAACTTACCCAATAAGCACTACTACTATTATCAGTGACGTTCCTGTCCATACTACTGAATTACATTTCACACTTTACACAAATGTGACATCACTGAACATTTACTTATTACACAATATTCTATATTTTGCACCAAATGTTGAATTATGGTGATTTATTCCCAACTAAACCTGCTCAAATAAAAGGAGCTGATTGCGTTATTGTTGAAATGCTTTTTTACACTGGAACAAATGACAATGTGACCTCATAAAGGCCTTTCTTTCACTTACAGTACGTTTGATGACAAAGGGGACATGTTGCTCTTACCAATGCTATCTGTGTGTGTCATGCATTTCCCAGGAACACAGTAGCGCCACAGGCCCTGATGCATGTAGTTGTTGGATTGACGATACTGCATCCAGTAATCGGTTGCTGTAGAGATAATAAGGAGTATGTTCCCGACTCCAGCGCAGAACAACCCACCGCCCATGAAGCTGTACATCCTGCCAAGCACACTGACGTACACAGACGAGACAGTTAGCCTACAACACAATTGGCTGGGACACTGAAGTGTCTCTATACACTACCATCTCATGGCTGGTGAATGCAGCATAGAGTAATGCAATATAAAGTACATTGTTTGCTTTGAATAGTTGAAAGGGTCTGGATGGACATTACATACCGTTTAAACATTTAATCAATTATATTTTTTCAAAGAATAATCTTGCAAGTTATACATTCATATTCCACTTGTTTTACCATAGGCCTACTGCTTTTAGACAGTTTGTTAGAGCAAGGTCTTTTCAAATGGCCATTATATAGTTTTAACTTTGATATACTGTATTTACCCTGACATGACTGATCTGTCTCTCTTCTGTCCTCTCTCTTCTGTCTTTCTATGAAGAAATATGATCTTTAAGTCACCTACATTATGTCAAAACACATATCACATTTTACCCACACCACTCAGGTAAGTAATAACTTACCTTTAATATCCCTTTTGAGAAAAAGTCAGAGATTCCAATATCACAGGGGGGTTGTCAAAGCACTCCAGAACCCAATATTGCCCAGGCTGGCAGGAAAGTTTTGTTTGAGCGTCGGAAACCAGGCGAACAAACGGCCCCGGGGCACAATAGAGCATGCTAAGCCACAACCAATCACAGGGGATGAGTTTTGTGTTTTAGGGAATCTGCTGAAAATACAAAACTATTAAAGCCCTGGGTAAGTCACTAATACTGATGACACAGTGGTTTCAATTCAAAATGCTGCACTACCATCGACAGTGGACATGAGTTGGCAGTAGGCTCCCACACTATGCAGTAAAAGTAAGTTTCACATACAGTGGGGAAAAAAAGTATTTAGTCAGCCACCAATTGTGCAAGTTCTCCCACTTAAAAAGATGAGAGGCCTGTAATTTTCATCATATGTACATGTCAACTATGACAGACAAATTGAGGGAAAAAAATCCAGAAAATCACATTGTAGGATTTTTTATGAATTTATTTGCAAATTATGGTGGAAAATAAGTATTTGGTCAATAACAAAAGTTTCTCAATACTTTGTTATATACCCTTTGTTGGCAATGACACAGGTCAAACGTTTTCTGTAAGTCTTCACAAGGTTTTCACACACTGTTGCTGGTATTTTGGCCCATTCCTCCATGCAGATCTCCTCTAGAGCAGTGATGTTTTGGGGCTGTCGCTGGGAAACACAGACTTTCAACTCCCTCCAAAGATTTTCTATGGGGTTGAGATCTGGAGACTGGCTAGGCCACTCCAGGACCTTGAAATGCTTCTTACGAAGCCACTCCTTCGTTGCCCGGGCGGTGTGTTTGGGATCATTGTCATGCTGAAAGACCTAGCCACGTTTCATCTTCAATGCCCTTGCTGATGGAATGAGGTTTTCACTCAAAATCTCACGATACATGGCCCCATTCATTCTTTCCTTTACACGGATCAGTCGTCCTGGTCCCTTTGCAGAAAAACAGCCCCAAAGCATGATGTTTCCACCCCCATGCTTCACAGTAGGTATGGTGTTCTTTGGATGCAACTCAGCATTCTTTGTCCTCCAAACACAACGAGTTGAGTTTTTACCAAAAAGTTATATTTTGGTTTCATCTGACCATATGACATTCTCCCAATCCTCTTCTGGATCATCCAAATGCACTCTAGCAAACTTCAGACGGGCCTGGACATGTACTGGCTTAAGCAGGGGGACACGTCTGGAACTGCAGGATTTGAGTCCCTGACGGCGTAGTGTGTTACTGATGGTAGGCTTTGTTACTTTGGTCCCAGCTCTCTGCAGGTCATTCACTAGGTCCCCCCGTGTGGTTCTGGGATTTTTGCTCACTGTTCTTGTGATCATTTTGACCCCACGGGGTGAGATCTTGCGTGGAGCCCCAGATCGAGGGAGATTATCAGTGGTCTTGTATGTCTTCCATTTCCTAATAATTGCTCCCACAGTTGATTTCTTCAAACCAAGCTGCTTACCTATTGCAGATTGTCTTCCCAGCCTGGTGCAGGTCTACAATTTTGTTTCTGGTGTCCTTTGACAGCTCTTTGGTCTTGGCCATAGTGGAGTTTGGAGTGTGACTGTTTGAGGTTGTGGACAGGTGTCTTTTATACTGATAACAAGTTCAAACAGGTGCCATTAATACAGGTAACGAGTGGAGGACAGAGGAGCCTCTTAAAGAAGAAGTTACAGGTCTGTGAGAGCCAGAAATCTTGCTTGTTTGTAGGTGACCAAATACTTATTTTCCACCATAATTTGCAAATAAATTCATTAAAAATCCTACAATGTGATTTTCTGGATTTTTTCTCCTCAATTTGTCTGTCATAGTTGACGTGTACCTATGATGAAAATTACAGGCCTCTCTCATCTTTTTAAGTGGGAGAACTTGCACAATTGGTGGCTGACAAAATACTTTTTCCCCCACTGTAGTTATTTCACACAGAAAAGAACAAAAGTATAGTTGGGGCTCATGTTGGTTAAATTAAATTGAGATAATGTTATCTCTCACAACATCAGATGTTAAGGTATTAAAATCATTAGTTAAACTACAATTGAACTCCCAAAACTGCTTTCAATTAATTGAATTTAAACTGCCCAGCAATTCTCCGACCATGTTCCAAAAATCAGCTTCAAACACACACTGTGATGCATGAGTCACTATGTAACACTTTCCTTTGCTAGGGTAGCAGGTGTCTTCAACAAATGGTGGTAGATTGATTTTATAATCACAAAGCAGTGATTCAAGTTATTCAGTGCTATTCCATAATTAACACATTTTCAGTAAAATAAATCAATAATTATGTATTCAAAATGTTCGGTGGAGAGTTAAGTTGTTTGGGAGGCGGGAAAATAATCAGAAGAAACTTTATCAGTGAGGTTTTTTTAATTTTTAAATATACAGTAGGGTCTGTAATTATTGAGAGCCTTGATAAATACTGAGCTATGCTCAAATAAATGGGGAAAATATATTATTTTAAACTAATACAATTGCTCAGAGAAAGAGATTTTGTTTAACGAGTAATACTTTTTTTCTCATAAATGTTTTATGTGTTGGAGAACACATCGGGAGGGATCTTAAGAGCATTCCTTCATACAGAATCCTGCCAGATCCTTGATGTCCATTGTCTGTGCTTATAGACTGCCCTCTTCAATTCAAACCATAGATTTTCAATGGGTTTCAAGTCCGGCGATCCCAAGTGAAAAAAAAGTATTTTTATTATAAGTATATTTAAATATACAAAGAATTTCAATTAATATACTGTACTTCAAATACGAATTGTACTTTTCTAGAATATCTTAAGTATACTATAAATATACTATAATTACACTTCAACAAACTTTTTAAGTGTACTTTATATTCATTGTTATATTTCAGTCTTTTAGTATACTATAAATATGCTATCATCAACCTTCAATATGCTTATTAAAAGTGTACTTTAAATTCATTGTTTTCAGTCTTTAAGTATACTATATGTTCACTATCATTAAACTTACACACTCATTAAAACTGTACTTCAATTTCAACTTTGTTTTTGAATTGAAGCATCAATTTTTTTTTAAATTTTTATGAAACTCCGCTTGTGAGTGATCAAGTACACTATAAGTGTACAGTAACTTGCAAAAGTATTCATACCCCTTGGATTTCTTCACACTGTATTGTGTTACAAAGTGGGATTCAAATTAATTGAATTGTCATTTTGTCAACAATGAACTCAAAATAATCTGTAACGTCAAAGTGAAAAAAATAATGAAAAGGTTTGATTAATACAAATTAGATAACTAAAATATAGTAGTTGTATAAGTATCAGCGCTTTTGTTTAGGCAAGCCTAAATTAGTTCAGGAGTAAAATTTGGCTTAACAAATCACATAATATGTCACATGGACTCACTCCGTGTGAAATAATAGAGGTTGACATGATTTTTGAATGACTAACCCTTCCTCTGTCCCCCATTCAATCAACATCTGTAAAGTCCGTCAGTCAAGTATTGAATTTCAAGCACAGATTCAACTACAAAGACCAGGGAGCCTTTCGAAAGCCTGATAAAGAACGGCAGTGATTGGTAGATGTGTAACAATATAAAATCAGACATTGAATATCTCTTTAAGCATGGTCAAGTTAATAATTACAGTATGCTGTGGATGATTTATTAAACCACCCAGGCACATCAAAGATTTGAAACTGCTCAGGAATGTTACCATCAGGCCATTGGTGATTTTAAAACAGTTACAGAGTTCAATGGCTGTGATGGGAGAAAACTGAGGATGGATGAACAACATTGTAGTGACTCCACAATAATGACTTAAATGACAGAGTGAAAAGAAGAATACAAATATACACAATACAAATATTCCAAAACATGGCACTAAAGTAATACTGGAAAAAAAAACGGGACAAATGAATATACTTTTTGTCCTAAATGCAAAGCCTTATGTTTGGGGCAAATCCAACACATCACTGAGTAACTGCCTCCTTATTTTCAAGCATGGTGGTGGCTGCATCATGGTATGGGTATGCTTGACATCAGCAAATACTGGGGAGTTTTTCACTATAAAAATGTATGGGATGGAGCTAAGCACAGGCAAAATCGTAGGGGAATACTTGGTTCAGTCTGATTTACATCAGACACTGGTAGAGGAATTCACCTTTCAGCTGGGCAATAACCTACAACACAAGGCCAAATCTACACTGGAGTTGCTTACCAAGAAGACAGTGAATGTTCCTGAGTGGCCAAGTTACAGCTTTGAATTAAATCTCTTCAAAATCTATAGCAAGACTTGACAGTTGCTGTCTCGCTATGATCCCCAAAGGGGTATAAATACTTTTGCAAGGCACTGTAGTTTCAGTGCCAATGAGGAGTTTTGAAGTACTTTCTGAATTCCTGTTCAGAAGAGTGCAGAGAAAGTTGAAAATGATAACGATTGTTTATTCCACATCAGGTAACATGCACAGCTGAGGAATATGCTTCCTGAGAGTATACTTTTTCATATCTCAAGAAAATATATTTAAGTATGCTTTCAAAAACGCATGTGCATTTGTTTGGCATATTACCCAGCATCCTTTTCTGCAGCTGAAGTTCTGATTTATAATATTATATTGTTCTAATATTTAGCTTATTCAAATGTTTTGATGTATGTTTTCAAACTGAATAATATTGTACTTTTAATTACACATTTTATTGAAATGTTAATTTATCACTGTAATGTGAACAACTAAAGTGTGAAATGCCACTGGTGCACAGGTATCACATACAGTGCATTCGGAAAGTATTCAGACCCCTTGACTTTTTCCACATTTTGTTACGTTACAGCCTTATTCTAAAATTGATTAAGTTGATTTTTCCCTCATCAATCTACACACAATACCCCATAATGACAAAGCAAAA